TTTTTTGTTTTTTATTTTTTATTTTTTATTTTTACTCGGTACAGCAAGTGCCCAGGAAAGCAGGACTTTAGGCCCGATGGCTCAGGCCGGGAAACCTGCCATCGTCCTTTCTGCATCCACAGAAAGGTGAGTGGGCATGGGGRCAGCAMCMCRGGTTTGGCAGACCTTAGGCTGGCCGTAACTATACCCACTACACGGGAAGGGGGGACAACCCATGTCCTTGCGGTGACCGCCATCACAACAATCCTGGACCATTGAGAAGGGAGAAGAATGTCACAGCACCATGTTCCTTCGCAGGTCACACCCTAACAGGCAATCACAAAACATGAACACAACCTCTAAATATAATCAAGAGTCAAGATAAACGGAACCACAACAGAGGGCCCGCAATATATGTGACGATATATATATAGATATTGTCACACTATGAATCAGAGCGCGAAGGCGGAAAAAAGCAAAACAAGGAAAGGAAAAGAAGTAAGGAAGGAGAGGCCCACGTGTTCATCACCTCTTACGTACAAGGCCAGCCACGTGGATGACAGGTTGAGCGCTGGCTACCCCCATCCCCGTGTGTCACAAGGACCTACTTGCACGCAGCCAAAAGGCAAAAAAGAGGTAAAGAAAAGGAGGAGGGGAGGAAACCAGACCTCACAGAGGCAAGAGAAAGAGAAAGGTCAAAGAAAAGACAAAGGAAGAAAGCAAAGGACACATCCCACAGATAAACCAATTGCCACTGTCACTACAGAGCTCAACATATTTTTTTCTCTTTTCCTTTTTTCTTGTTTTCTTTTTTCTTTTCTCCAGAAATTTGTACTTTTTCTCTTTCTTTCTTTGATCTGTCCTACAATAATTAATGTTGCTCCTGATCGCTTAATTCTATTGACCAATCAGGAAGAGGAAGAGGAGCCCCCACCCCACCCCGGCAGATAGGACAGGCACGCTGAGGATGATGACGTGGATGTTCACAAGGATACCCAAGGAGAGCTGCTTCAGCACAGCATTCAGCAGCACGGCTAGCACGTGGACCATCCCATCCCATCAAAACAGTCCTGACAAAGGACATGCTGTCCACATATAATAAAAAAAAACAGCAGGACGTTCATCACAGTGCGGCATCATGCAGTCCGGATAGCGTCCTTGAGCACAAAATGGACAACGAATATCTGGGTGATAGGGAGGGATGTGTGTACAATTATGAGGAAATGTTGGACACCCTTGGGCACAGACGGCGGCGGCTGCAATGGATTGATAAGGTTGATGGCATAGGTGACGACCTCCGCACCCAAGACGCACCACGTCCCTATCCCGACAGGTGTCACACGAGAGTCGGTCAATAATCCAGAATAAAGAATGATTCGGCAATGCACACAGAAATCCATTTACGTTGAAAATAGCCTGCCTGACTCATCGTCCCACCACCATCCCACAGTTCCCACTGGGCGGCTGCACGAATGAGTGCCATATAATGCCCGGGTCTGTGCAAGATGCAGGCAGAAATATGTGGAGGATGGTCATTAAGGTCATCTCGCCTGGCGTCGCATGATGCATGCATAAGAAGGTGGCGACCGTGGAACGCTAACTGTAAGACATTTTTACAGTAAAGCCCTTTACTGAGGTAGAGTATAGTTTACTCCCTACCCTCAGGAGGTGGACTATTATGGTCATTCAACAACTGATTTTCAACAGCGTCAAGCTGATAAGCAATTGTAACAAAACGGGAAGCAGTATAACATCGACGCTGATAAGCCATTGAGGTAGGGGGACATTTGTGGCTGTCAATCCACAAGCATTTGGTAGATCTACCTGCAGATCCGATTCGGTCACCACTGGAAAGCTTGGTCTGGTCTGGCGGGGTCGGCGCATGAATGGCGAACGCCGTCGACGTGGCAGAGAAGGCTGTCGGTAAGACAAAGAACCCCGCAGATTAGCATCAACACGACGTCGAGAGGAAGGGGGACTGGGAGGAGGAGAGAATGAACGAACCTGCTGACGTCCCAATATAGAGAACGAAGACAAAGGAGGGGCCGATCTCAGCCGGCGTGGGGGGGCAATTGAAGAAGAAGGAGGAAGAAGAAGAAGAAGAAGAAGAGGAAGAAGAAGAGGAGGAGGAAGAAGAAGAAGAAGAAGAAGAAGAAGAAGAAGAAGAAGAAGAAGAAGATGAAGAAGACGACGACGACGACGAAGAAGAAGAAGAGGACGCTGGCAAAGAGGAAGGAGAAGGAGAGGGAGGGGGAGAGGGAGAGGAAGGCGGAGGGGAAGTGGAAGGGGAAGGAGGAGGGGGGGGGGGAGAAGAGAAGGGGGAGGGGGAGAGGAAGAGGGGGAAGAAAGAGGAGGGAAAGATGGACAAGAAGGGGGAGGGGGAGGCGGAGGAGGAGGAGAAGATGGAAAAGAGGAAGGGGGAGGAGGAGAGGGAGAGGGAGAAGGAGAAGCGAAGGAAAGAGGAGGAGAAGGTGGAAGAGGATAATGCACGGACCAGCGAAGCATACGTCGAAACCATTGTGTAAGACGAGTTACATGTATAGGTTGTCGACGTTGGCGCGCACGAATGTAACAAGTCCATCCACGGGCCAATGTTGAAGGAGCACTGGTTGCCACGGGAAAGCAAACGGAGGACAAGCATGGTTGCCGCAGTAAGGTCTGAAATCAAATCATATGCCAATTGTCACAAATCTATCTGCTCAAACCGCGTAAGCTGGCCGGTGAACACACCTGCAGGCTGATGATACGAAATGTTTGACTTTGCACTAGGATATGGTATAACAGGAAAATCCCATGCAACTGTCTTGTCAAACACACTCAATCGGAGAGATCCATCTGCTCGTGTCTGCAGTTTCGCACCTAAGAAAGTGTAAGAGCTATCAGCCGCAGTGGTCTCCTTCCATTCAAGACCGTAACAGGTTGGCGATGGTGGCAGACAACCAAAGGTAAGAACATAATCAATGAACCGATAAGTGAAAACATATCGGCGAGCTGCAGAGGGATCCACTCCACATGCTGCAGGTTGTCCACGTACTGCGCCTCATCCCAATAGAGTGTGAGGTTAGCAATCTCAGGACCAGCGTTTGTACCCTTGGGAATACCCACGTCTTGATGACGAACAAGGCCATCCGCTATATATATGTTGTTCGGCCTTTTGGAACGCGGGGCGGTGCTTGTATGTGGGAATCGTCATCCGGGATCGCCTTTTATACCGGTTTTCTGGGTTCTTTTTGATTTTTTTGCAGACAAGAATGTTTTGACATCCTGGTTGGTTTTGTCCCGTCGTTTGGCCGGTGGACAGGGGCGGTGCTTGCATGTGGGACTTGTCATCTGGGATCTGTTTTGTTGCCCCCTGTTTTGTATTATTTGGCTGTTCCCTTCCTCTTTTCTTTGCCTCTTTGCCTTCTGGCTGTGTGCAAGTGGGTCGATATGACACACGGGGGTGGGGGCAGCCGCCGCTCAACCTACATCCACGTGGGCGGCCTTGTACGCAAGAGGTTCTGAACAGGGGGAGTTATAAGGAAGAAGATTAAATCATGAATTCATTTTTTCCTGTTTCCCTTCTTTCTTTCTTTTTCCTTTTTTTCGCTTTTGCGCTCTGATATGCTTGTGACGATATATATGTATGAGTAACAATAAACCGAAGATGTTGAAGAATGTCAGACACAGAAAGAGTGTGAGATCCCGTATCCGTAGTCCATTCCACTGCACACGGTCCGCGGACCACCATACGAAGAACAACACAGGATGAGTGTGTCCGTGTATGCTGCTGTGCCTGTGCAAGAGCATAGGCATGTGCCTCATCAACAGCCTTAGCAACATTGTCAAGAATCCGTTGATGAGAAAGATCAGTATACATAGTAGTGAAATCGACCGTATGGGGGGCCAGACCTCGGAGAGAAGCTTTATTCTTTTTGAGGTCAAGCATGACCTCGTCACTGCTCTGGACAATACAACATCGACGAATACCTTCGGAATTGGAAGAGTTGATTATCTTTTTCACGGAGAGTACGGATGACGCAGGAAGATGGAAAAGTGGTCCACGGACCACCATACGAAGAGCGACACAGGAAGATGATGAAGACGAGGACGACGACGACGAAGAAGAAGAGGACGCTGGCAAAGAGGAAGGAGAAGGAGAGGGAGGGGAGAGGGAGAGGGAAGGCGGAGGGGAAGTGGAAGGGGAACGAGGAGGAGGAGGGGGAGGGGG